TCTTTTCTTTGTTATAGAATTGTGCAAACAATCTACCTTGTGAGGATTTCCTTGTAAGTTTGTAAATTTGTATTATTCTCTTTGGGAGAGAGTGTTCTCAAGAATTTGGGGTATAATTCTTGAGGGTTTGTAAGGTTACTCTTTGTCCTCAAAAGAAAGATAAATTAGTGAATTTGTGGAAAATCCTTAGTGTGGATAGCTAAGGTAGTGGACGTAGACTTTGGTTGAGAAAGTCGAACCACTCTAAATCGCTGTGCAATTTCTTTCAATTTTCTGCAAAAGCTTCCACCAAAATTTTTATTTCCAATTCACCCCCCTCTTGGCCGATTCCGTCAATCGATTAACTCAACACTGGTTTTGTTAATATATTCGGTAAAGCACTACCTAAAACATTTTTTTCTACCAATTTCATTATTATTGGGCACTTTACCGAAAATTTTAAAAAACATTAATGTTTTAGGTAGAAATAATAATATTTTAGGTAAATTTTACCGATTTTATGAAAAAATTAATAAAAAAATTAATAATATATATTTTTAACCGTATATTAAGACTGTAACATGATATAATTTCACCTTTATAATGAATGAAGATCGAAGCTAATGACAGAAATTTTAACCCCACACCCGCGCGCTAATAACTAAAAACACACATAATATTTGATTGAATTAATGTGAGCATCACAAACAATTGATTTGATTATGAATCGAGTATTCCATTGGATAATTGAATGTGCAAACAAAGTCCTTGGATCCTCCCACATGGCGTATAAAGTTTGGTGGCATTTATTGCAAAATGCTAACCCTCCCAATGGATACAGACTATGAAAGTGGGGGTGGGGGATGTTGGCTTTTGGCGATTTGGCACCTACGAGGCGCAGGTTAGCATAAGGTGGGGGCCACTGCAATACACTGTCAACCTCGTTCCCAACCCTTTATAGGGGTGTGGGCCGATGTTTCTTAAATTCCACTGCTATCAAAATTGAGCAATTTCATTCAAAATAAAAAAAGGGAGTGGTCCAAATGATAATGTGTGTACTCTCAATTATCTTTATTATTGAATGTGCCTTTATATGTACATCAATTCTTCTTTCATCACATGTTTCCATCTTTTGCATTTACTTGTGGGTCACTTGATAGTTGGGGTTGATGTTAACACTGTTTTCAATGCCCCTCTCCTTTGATTCCTTGCGCCACACTGTGTTTACCCTAGGCAACTTACTGAGATAAATGTCAAAAATATGTATACTACAAATTTACAATTTTCATCTACCGGAGATGAGTGAAATTATGTCATCATTATTGTTGATGAAATGAGTTATAATAAATGTAGCCAATTCATCAGTTCTAATTTGAACAAAGAGTCATAATCGGTGGTCAGATGATTATTGACAGGTTTTAAAATTTTCTGTCCTATAATTGTAGATGATTCATTCATTTTGATTTAAATAGAGAGTCGCAGTCAGTGGTCAACTGATTACTGAAATATGTTAAAATCTTCTATCCTCATTGAAAGGTAAAAGAGGAATAGATGAGAGAATAGGTTATGGATCCTTGTCTTGATCTTAGCATAGAGATTTAATGGTATGTCTCAATGTTAGTATCAGACGTAGGATCATTATAATTACTCATAGGTTGGCAGGTCAAATGAAATCAATCAATTGGCGATAGATTTAATTTTAATAAATCATTTAAGCCTGTCAACGGTTATGTCAAGAGGTCATGATTTTTTAATGTGTGTTAATCTTCAAAAGCTCTATATTCGGAGATGCTCTTCTTGGATACTCCAAAAATCCTAAAGCACAAAAAAAAATAGAAGAGATACAATAATTATGCTTCTAAGAAAAATAGTAAAAATGGCATTGTTACATTTTCTCCTTTCCAAAATGGGATTATGTAAAAATGCATTTTCCTGGCATATATAGATGAAAATCTAATATTTGTTCACATATATAGTACATAGGTTAGTTAGATTGGAATTAAAACAAAAGCATAGGTTAAAGAAAACAGCGGTTACCATCTCATAATTGTCTTATTACATGACTTGATTAGTAGATAAAGAATTTCTCTTTTTATCTGGCAACTGATCTTCCACCTAACAGTTACTAAATTTGTCAAGTGAAATTGAAATTGATCATGTCCGACTAGCCATTTTTATTCCAAGCTTTCTTTTCAACATTACCATTTTCTTATGTATTTAAAGATCGGTTAAATCACATTACTGTGACAGTTTTTAGGGTTCCCACAAATGGTGCTAAAAGCTATAGCATCTCTGTTATTGTTCATGTCTTAATTAATAATTAATACATCTTTTGCTTACAAATGGAGATTTCTTCAATAACTTTACGAGCTCTGTTTGATGTAATTAAACCCTTTCGATTTTATTTTTTTTTTTGGCATCTTGCCAAGGTTTGAAATTTTGTTAGGTGGAAATATGTAATCATTGAGCAATCTAAGGGAGTTTTTACATATAATACTTGTTATAAGGTTGATGACTTCACTTGCAAATTTCTTAATAATTTGAGCTGTTTACATCGCATAAAATGCAATGCTTAATTGATGTTAATCGCAAGCCGATTAGGTAAGATTAGCATTTTAGCCTCTTAAAAATAAGAAAAATACAAGTAAATAAGAGAACATAGGCATTGTGATAATTAGGATATGTGATTCCTTTTGGAGATCTTTCCATCAAATCTTTGAAAAGGATGTACGTCCTCACTAAACTCTGCTTGGAAATGTAGCTACCATTAACATACAATAATATAGTTCACTATGCAACTTCAAGAGATAAAAAAAATATATAAATAAGAATAAAATAATGGTCATATTATAATTATTAATCTGTCTATTTAAAATAAAAAAATAAAAACATGAAGATCTATTTGTTGATTGAAGTTATATATTGATAATTTGATTCGAATTCAATTATTAGAATTAATTTATTTGATTTAAGATTTAATAGGAATACTTAGACATTATTTAAATTTCAGAATAAATTAAACTGAATTCTAGTTAGTTAGATATTTACTCATATTTAATATAATTCGAATCAATTTTTACTCGAACGGAAAATAATTTGAACCTAAATAAAAAAAACTTGAATTTAATATATTAAAATTTAAAAATAACTAAATATTATTTAAATTTTAACTTGATAATTTATTTTTATTATTATTTATTTTCAGCCATGTGATAAATATTAAAACATTTTATGTTTTCGTCTTATACTACTAATAGTTTAATAGTTCAATATCATCTTTCCTCATTTAACAAACTATTTTTGTATTTGATTTGATACTTTTAAATATCTTTTAAAAAATAATTGATTGGATAGATTATTAAATAAAATTATTCACTGGCCAAAATTCTAGTTTATGTATTTAACTTTAATCGATTCCAGTTAAATTAACTAATTTTTAAAGAAAATAATCATTTTTATAAGCATAAATTAACATGAAACATAAGTCTCAAATAAAAAAATTTCATTCAAAAGTGATATGTAATTAGTAACAATTTCTAGAATAGGCGATTAAAAAGCTATCAGATGAAAGTTTTTCTCTTTCTTCGGTCGAGTATTGAGCAAAAATTTTCATTCCCCTCTCCCTAGATAAGAATTGTTAAAAAGTATTTAAACTCAACTTTTTCATTTCAAACTAAGTTGTATTGACTTTCTTATTGATGATGTTAAACTTAACACATTGACCGATTAAATGATTAAGAATTAAAATTTAACATAAATGATAAAAATTAACAAATAAAAAGTCACGTTCTTATAAAAATATATCAATAATTTTATATATTCGATTGGATTCATATCTAATTCAGCTCGAAGATTCAAAGATTTCGAAAACTAATCATTTAGATGTATATCTAATTCAACATCGATCTAAATTGATAATGATCTTATTTGATATTCGATATAACTCGTCTTAATATAGACTCAAACTAAATTTAAATCAAATCTAAATTGACTCGATATAAATTCAATCCGAATCATCCTCTAATTGAAATCTTTGTTTTAGCATTCAAAACCTAGATGGGTTACTGGTGTTGAACAAGTGCTCAAAACACCAGCTAGCTGGAATGAAACCAATATGCATTATAAATCCATAATACTAACAGAAAATTACACAAATACATCTCATCGAAAAGCTTTAAAAAAACAAATAAAATCCACCACACTTTTTTCTCTTGACAAAACACAATCCCATGAAGCAGAAGAAGACACAAATACTATAATTTACGGAAATGTGTATTTTTTTTTTTTTTTTTGAAATAGCGCAGCTTGATGTCATTATCTCATAACGTTGAAAACTGTGTAATTGCAGCCAGGCAGCCAAGGTACAAAGGAAAAGGTTAGATATTATTAAGATGGCAGAGACTTAACTGTCATGTTCCTTTGTTCCCTTCCCTTCTGCAAAAAAAGGGGGAAAAAAAGGACACCTAACCTTTTTTGAAGGGAAAGCTTTGGGTTTTACCATTTTAATACCCATGAAAGCTTTGGATGCAGGTGATACTTTTGTTCTCCTCCACTATACTGCTCTCAGAAATCAAAAGGGATAAGAAAATGTATAATTTGTTTTGCAGATTTTAAGGCCAAAAGATGAACTGAACCATCCCCTTCGAAGCAACAGACAATAATCCACTCGTCAGTTTATTTAAGAATGTTATGTCCCCCATATATCATCCTCTTCTCCTCTTCCATCTCTGAGTCTCTCTCTTTTATTTGTTGCATTTCAAAATTAATGGTCCCATCCCAATAAGATTTAATATGGTTTCAAATCACAACAATTTCTTTTTCATATTTATTTTTTTTATTATTACTTGCTGCTTTCAAACATACAGATATGTGAATTAAACCGTGGCCTTAAAATTGCCACCATTGTTCATCCGCAAATATTCATTCCGATCGTCAGACATCATTTAAAGTTTGATTGATAAACATATATTAAACATAACTCACCCAAAAAAAATCTTATCTTTCTTTTCCCGTTCATATGAATATATATTGTATTCTGATTAAATACTATCTGCAGGACCAGAAAGGAAATGAACATTGTAATAAATTTTCGCCAACAAATGTCCTATGTCTATCCTACACTGAAAATGCCATGAAGAACACAAAGATATGACTCATTTTCATGGCATTTCATGCAAGGAAAGACCCTTATGTTATTAACAGTTTACCCTTCACTTTCTCTTTCCATCAACCTCTTCACCTGTTCTCAGACAGACAACATATAGATTTACGTACACGTGTAGCTACAGTGTTTGTTCATGTGCTCCTCTCACTGATAGCCACATCGAAAACAATATTCACCACACGTGTGAAAGTTTCAGAAACGGGGAAGAAGATAGATCGCAACTGTAAACATGAGCTTTTAGCTTAAAGGATGACAGTACATTTACTAAACCAAATGAAATACCCTAACGAAGATACTGAAAGAGAAAGAGTTGTTTTTTTTTTTATTGAAGAAGGTTCACTTATCAGCTAACTCATGGCTTTGGGATCAATGATCACATTTACATATGAAATCATGCTAAAAAAGAGTGAAATCAGGATGTTAAAAAACCAAAAGGAGAAGAAGAGAAAGAACAAGTGAAGATCTAGTGTGCTACAAGCCTACAAGTTATAATATAACCGTCGCATTTTGCACAACAAAGATTTTGTTGTTTGTTCTCCGTTTAAATCAAAGGTTATTAAGAAATTAAATATTACAGATGTAGATCCAAACTCACATGATCTTGTACGCTAGGCTTTGATTCATAAACGTACCGACTCTGGGAACTTGAACCACCACCACCAACACCAACAACCTGCGATGGGTTCAATTCATCAGCAGCAAAAAATGGCGACGGATGCGACGATAATGGTGATGAAAGGTCGCGGTAGAAATTAGATGAGTTACTTTGAACCGTAGCAGGGATTCTCCATAACCCTAATGGGCTACCATTGATGGGTGGGTGAGAAAAAGAGCTTTGGCTCCCATAAAACCTACTGCTACTACTGCTAATGTTATTGTTCCACGAAGGATAAGTCGCCATATCTGGGTTTGGAGCTGAGCCTAGCCTGTAGTTAACGAGACCGTACATATGAGCATCAGATAGAGAGCTTTGCACCATTGCTGACTGAAGATGAGCTCGTTTGGCGTGTTGACGTTCCCTTTTGTGGGCGTTTTGGTGACCACCCAAAGCTTGGGAAGACGGGAAGTTTCTACAGCAATAGTGACACTCAAACCTTCTGCTGTTTTCTCCGTTCTCGTTCTCCTTGCTTGTATCTTCGTTGTTCCCAGCTGAGTCGGCACCACTGAATTCTTTCCCGAACAAACGAAGGGTACCCTTTTCTTTGGTAGGGGCAGGACGGATAAAGGGAAGCTGAGAGAAGGATTCAATGGTCATAAAGTCATGAGTTTCCCTTTCATTCTTCTCCATGGAGAAGAGAGAAACAAAGGAGAGCGGCGGTGGGTGGGCTTTAATTTCTTTGCGAGAGAGCTGAAATGATTGAGGGGAGAGAGAAGGGAAGGGAAGGGAAGAAGGTAGCTAAGGCAAAGGGGAGAGGGTGGGGCCTATAAAGAGAGGAGCAAATACACAAAGGGGGTGACCCATAGCAATAGCAATGGGCATGAATTATCTGAGAATCTGAGAGTGAGGGCTGACAAGGAAGGCCACAAGTTTCTGGTCAGTGGCTTTGGCAGTTTCGGTTGTCAAAGTACTACCTTTGCTTCCTTTCACTTCAGTTTGGGTTGGTCTGCTGCTTCCATCACAAGGTAACATGTGACTTGAAAGCTTCATAGTCAAGTGTTCATGACAGAAAATCTCTGGGGAGGGTTAAGAGTTTAAAAGTCTTGCCTTCCTTAACCAGACAAAATACGGTGTTTTCTTACTCAAGAGAAGCTTCAGATTGCATCCGGGAGCTCGAAGCTTAACTGTCTTGCTTCCAACAAAAAGAAATTCCAATAAGTGAGAAGAGGTACAGTCTTAAAGAAGCAAAAAAGTTTTGATGAAATTCTGGATGAAGATTTTTCTTTTAGAAAAAGAAAAGGAAGGTGAGTAAGCAGAACAAAAGAAAGAATAATACTTTCGATTCTTGATAGACCGCCTAGTTAAGGGAAAATGAATTTTGAAAGAAGTTTGAAAGAACAAAATAGCAGTTTGGAGAATGTTGAACCAGCCAAGTGGAGAATGTTGAACGAGTCAAGTTCTAAAGCTCAAGAAATTTGAGAAAGTAGGGAGAATGTTAGAAATAAGTTTTAATTAGTTGTTAGTTTGTTAAATCTATTTTGAGTTGTTATTAGGTTGTTATATTTGGGCTATAAAATACCCAAGTTTAGTTTGTAATTCAAAGAAGTCATTTACAATAAAAAATATCTTCAGTGCTTTCCTCTTTCACTTTCTTATTTTCCTGTATCTAAATCAAAACACCTACAGTTGCCATTCTTCAATTCATACCATCGTCTCAACTTCCATGGCTGCTTTCTCACAATGTTCTCACCCCTCCACCTCCATTAACCAAAATTTCTATATAAAAAAATTATTGGAAAATTTTCAAGTATAATAGGAAATTTATACTCTCTCTTTATTTGTTTTTTCCATAAATTTAATATCGTGTAACTTATTAAGTGATCTCAACGGTAAACGAATATGTTGCTCTTTTTAGAGAATTTAGGTTTGAACACATACGAAGAGTGTGTGTACGCTACTAATGATTAAAAATGATTATAAACATATATTACCATGTAGAAACGTTTGAGAAAGGGCCTCCATGAGCTTCCGTTCATGGTCCATCTTCCTTCATAAAATAATGATTGTAATTTATTGTTTTAGTTGTATTTAGGGTGTAAACATCCTGCACTCGAACTCATGGTTATTAAAGGAATACAATATCCTTTTTTTTTTCTGAGAACACTCGATAGTTTCCTTTATATTATTATTTTCAAAATACCATTACATGAATTAGAATGATTAATAAGTAAGATTTGAACTTGAGAAATATTCAAAGTATATTACATCCTAGATACGCCAAAATTGAAATGTAAATGTGTAGATTTTTTTAGGAAAATATTGATGTGGAAAGCAAATGACATGTGAGACCACATGCAATGGGAAGGGTGATAATAACTAGTCAAAAACAAAAGGGTCTCCATAAAAGGAAACCCTAATTATCTACAAGTGGTAAAGAATAAGGTATTTCAAGTTTATCATTTGGGTTTGGGATTAGGGTTATGGGGGGTGGAGCTGGTCTAGGATGAAATGTAGAGCAGCGTTGATTTGGGTGGGAGTGGGCACAATAGGGAAAGGTCGCTATCCCCTAGTTCCCTCATTTCTCTCTTTCCCATTAGGTGGCTTGAATGAAACCTGTCTTTGAGAGACCTCTTTCTCCTGCAAAATCTAACATGTTCCCTTATGTGGGCCAACTCTTAGATGTAGAGACTTCATGCTTTTCAAACTAAAGCCTTCTTTGTTTCATCAACATCCTAATCATTATTTCTAGGGCTTTGTTTGGATCCACATACATACTTTATTTCTTTCAAGAAAATTTAAACAGCGTGAAAGTATATATTTTAGCTTACATTGCTTACTTCGCATTTGGATTCCTTTACAAGTCTAATTAAATGAATTTACACGATAAACCAAGCAAATAAGCAGGTTAGTTTACATGCTTAATTTGAAGAGAGAAATATAGACATAATAACTATTTAATTGGATACACAGTTTAAAAAAAAAACCCTCAAGGTCCTGGTGATAAACGATTGAGAAACAAAGAAGATATCGAGAATATAAAAACTCAATAGAGTACTGAAGATGGGAAATTACCCTGAGGTGAGTTTCCCAAGAAAACAATAAAAAATGCTTCTTTGAGGTGAATTACTGTTGAAACTATAATTACAAAGGGAAAAAAAGAGAGAGAGAGAGAGGTAAATCTAGAAGTGAGGCCATATATTACCCAGGTTTACTTGAAATGGCTCATGAGGAGGTGAAAGGCAGAAGAGCCAAATATTGAGAAGACGACGATGAGTTTCTCAGCCAAAGAAAGAGGATAAAAAAGAGAGAGAATATGGTAGAAAATTAATTATAAATATAAGTATTCAAACTATATCCAAAATTTATTTTTGGTATTTATATAATTTTTCGTTAAAAATAGGTATATAACGTTTTTCTGTTACAGTGTCAGAACTTGGTCATAGAATTTGGATAGATCAACATAAAACTTTAAAATAAATAGAGGTTTAAATTAAAATTTTTAAAAGTTTTGAAGAGTTTAGTTTACATTTTTCAAAAAAGTAGGGTCTAACTAAAATTTTTGATAGGCTTAATGAGAATTATTAAAATTTATGGGAGGGGATTTTATTAAGAATTAATTTTTTTTAAAGTTTAATATGAATTTCTAGAAATTTTGAGGGGGCTAAATTAAATTTTTTGAAAATTTAAAGGACTAAATTACATTTTTTTAAAATTTGGGGGTCATTGCCGCACTAGCCCCCTTTAATTCCGCCATTACTTTTAGGTGTTTGTATTGTAACAACCGTTAAGTTTTACTGTTATCTAACATGTATAACCCTCATATTTTTTTTCAAAATTTTTATTTAAAAAAATAAAAATAAAATTATTAAAAAATAAATGTTTCTAAAATATAAAAATGACCTCTAAGATTTCCAAACCCAAATCATTTAATTCTTTTTTCGGTCATTGTTGTCGTCATCGGTCGCATACCCACCAATCACCAAACTCCACTGTTGTCATGTCCCTTGTCGTCACCTCTAAACCGGCATTCGATAAAAAAAAAACACCACAAATTGACCGCAAATCGTGTGCAGATTAATAATAACCCGACCGTATTTCTTCTGTTTATTTCAATCTTGAAAGGAAGACAGTAGGTGGTCTTCTCCAGACTTTGGGTTAAGGATGTTTGGTAGTGGGTTTGCCATCGATGGGCTGGGTTTGTCGAAATTTGGGTTAAGGATTTAAGAATCTTGAAGTTTTATTCTTTTGGGGTGTTTTGTGAAAATAATGAAAATATATGGTCTTTTTTTAAAATTAAACAAAAAGCTTTAATAATTTTTTTTTTAAAAATACGAGGGTGACACGTATCCATTGGGTAAAATTTAACACCTAAAGTAAATAGAAAAAAAAGGTTAAACACATATTTAAAAAAAAATTCTTTCAGCATATTATTTTGAGTATAATTTATACATTTATTTTTATATTAAGCATAGAATAAATGAATTGTAAAAGGTAACAACTTTTGTAAAAGATATCCATTTCGCAGGATGTTAACCGTAATTTATGGCAGCGACCTCTGGAAGGTTGGGTTAAAGTGAACGTTGACGGAACTGTTCGTTTCAGTGACAATGCGACTGCAGTGGGGAGTTATTCGTAATGATAAAAGGGAGTGGCTCTTTGATTTTTTATGAAGTTTAGGTGACTGTCCGGCTTTGCAAGCAGAGTGGGCGATTCATGATGCCTTGGAACACGCTTGCAGACTTGGATATCGTCACGTTGAAATTGAGACAGATTATCTTGAAGCTTCGTTATCTTTAGAAGGAGCATCAAATACTTTTCCTGGAACTACACTTACTGAGGCGATTAGAATGATGTTGGAACGAGATTGGAAACTTAGACTTCAACTTGTCCGAAGGGAAGTAAACTCGGTAGCGGACCACCTTGCTGCACTGTCTCGTGGCTTACCTGTGGGAGAGAGTAGGTTTGAAGATCCTCCAATAGATTTGATTAATCTTGTTCTACTGGAAGCAGCCTACACCCATTATAGCTGCTGTTTCGTTTTAGTATTAGCGAAAAAATTCTCAGAATTTCATATATATATCATAATAATTACATGGAAGACGAATGAAATATTATCTTAATAACATTTTTTACATTAATCCTTTTGATATCTTTGACTCAATTTCAATCTCTAAAGATGTTCTCTCTCTAAAAGACTACTATCCTATATAAATATTCACACATGAATAATAAAGAATGATTATCAGAATATTAGTTTTCTTTATTTTCTCAAAACAATGTATTTTTTAATTTTTTAACGGCTGTAAAACTGATTTTCCTTGAACCATATGCATATATTGTACACATATATTGTTTGATTAAGTTACTGTTTTCTAATTAAATTTAATTATTATTAATTTAAAATTCTTTTAAAATAAATAACAATTTAAACATATTTGACAAGGAATTTAAATTCAACGAAATCCAAATAACAGTTATTTAATAATATTATTTATTTAATATTATTTTTGAAATAAATAAATAAATAATAATAATAAATATTATATAAAAAGAATACGAATTTAATTTCTTTAAATTCAAATAATAAATAATCTTTCACAATATAATTTAGTACTCTCATTATCTTAAATTATTATTGAGAGTAATACTACAGTTATTCTTATTATTCTTCATGTGCGACCTTATAGATTGGATTAATATTGACAATAGATAAAATTACATTTGATCTTACAAGTCACAAGTGACATATAGCAAGATATTATGACTACCCAAGTTAAATAAAAAAAACTCATTATCCGAAATAACTTTAATACATCTCAGGTCATACTCTTTTTATCTCACAATATCTGGATAGAATATAAGGCATAAAAAATGTCAACCTTATATCGCTTTATCTTTAGTTTCTCGATGTCCAATTGAATTGACTAAAAACATG